TTGCTCCAAGGCTTGTGTTTGGGATCCTATATGCCATTTCTGGAATTCCTTTTTCAAGGACCCAGACTAAGCAGAATCAAGATCCTGGGATTTGTTTTCTAATGCACAAAAATAATTGAGAATATCATAGCTATTTCTAAAAAATATTATCACTTGGTAAACCCATTAACCCTAACAGAAGTAAGCTTAAGAGCAGTCCAAGATCATCTTCTCAATAGTTCCAACAGCTCCTGAACAAATGGAGTTCCCTACATTTTCCTGATTCCATGGGACTTAAAAGACTGATGGCTGTGTACTTCTACCAGCGATGCACTTGTGTGAGGCTCCCTGGGCCTCACAATGACTAGGATATATAGCACACATAAGTTGGAATATATACTATGAAATTGCTCATAGTCTTTTTTCGGAGTTGACAAGTTTAAATACACAGTGTAGGAAAATTACTCATGGCTGTGGAGGAACATGGGCAAAAACTGCCAAATGGGCTTTTAATGAGGACTTCACAGTGCGAGCATATGCAAAAAGAACTTATAGATACAGGCGTTATGACAAACAAAAATGATCACGCTAAGTTTTCAAAGAAGCTTACAGGTGTACCAGATCATGGTGATTATATGCAAAATGAACAGTGTATTCAAGAAGGACCATTTGGTTCTTGGACCAACATACCTGACTCCCCATAAACACTTCAACTAGAAAAAACAGGCAACACATTAGTCAGAAATATAGCTTTATTATTAGAATATTTCATAGTCTAAAAACTTGTTTAAATTCTGGGAACAGAATGTCCAACTTTTGTACAACTGACTGGCCCTGCAGAATACTGGAAAACAGACTCTAAGCAATCTGAACTTTGCCATTAAGAATCTGTAACCTAGCTTTGGGGGAGAAGGGCAAAGGAAGTTCAAACGAAGATTTCTTCCCTATAAAACAAATAATAAAATTAGATCCATTCTTCAGTTTAACTTTCAACTTGTTTTCCCAGAAACTTTGGTGATTTCTTCAAAAAAGCAACTTCCTTAACTCTAAAGTCTACCACCCTTGTGGACAAAGAAAAACATTTAGAAATAAGACACACAGTGGGACATGGCACCTGGCTCGGGTCACGGCCATGTATGTGGAGTATCCCGTAGAGTGAGCCAGCTCCTGTATTTCAGTTCTAAATCCATGTCTTTAAAGAAGCACAACATACATGACATGTTTCCTTTTATGTGGATCAGAATTTAGTTGCAGCATTAAATTTTTTTAAATATAATAAATAAATCTCAAAAAAATCATTTGTCTTGTGTAATATGTATAGAGTAGATATGACATGACGGTGCTTTCTGGAGGTCACTGGGTACCACTGTAGAAGAGGCCTGTCTTGCCCTCCAGGCATGTTTTTTAAAAAATTTGAAAATGTTTAAGTAAGATTAAATAAAACAAACGAACAAAAAATCTGGCTATACCATCTTCAAAACCAAGTTGTTGTCATTGCACACACGTTACAGGACAAAGAGCATGCAATACAACTAACAGAGTGTTTTTTGTTTTTCTCATGTGTGAAGGACTAAAGTGTGATCATGGTATAAACATCAATAATAAATCGTCTCTGGAGTAGGATAATTCTCCAAATAAATAGCTTTTACATTCGAATTTTTACCATGTTAGCCTCAACAGTGATATTAACAGCAATGCTTTTTCCCCTCTTGATAGCTGCCTATATATCACGTGAATGTTCCACCCCCATCAGCCAAAAGTCAAAGAAAAGATTCAAGAAATCAACATTGTCACTAGGAGAGGTTCCCAAAGTGTTTGTATAAGTTACACCTTCTGATTTACTGACATTTTAATTAACTGCTTTATTACCTATTTTTAATACACTGCTAGTCTGATGCTTATTGCAATAATCATAATTCTACTAATGTTAATTAGGTTAGTGTTAATATTTAAAATGAGAATGCAATTTACATGAACTAACATATATAGTTTAAAATCCACCCACCACAAACACACACCTTTTTCATGAGTATTTAAAAACAAATTACTAATATACCTGACATATATGTATTTTATGTATGTTACATACATATATGTATGCATATATTTGTGGACAAAATTATTCTTGTTTCCAGAAGGATGTCAGCACTTGTAAACTGTGCATGAGACCTGATGATACTGCTAATTAAAAAAAAAAAAAGGAACATGGAAATTCATTCTGGAAGAAAATCTTACTTCAGGAGGTTCCTAACAATGCTTTGTGGAAACAAAAGCCATTTTAAGAGAGGGAGGGGAGGACAGCCTCAGATTCTGGATCCCACATGCACTGTTTGTTTCAGAAATTACTTTAGAAAGCAGTCTACAGTGAACATTTCAGGTTCTTGGTTAAAAGGTTAAGAACGTATATTTTAGTCATAAAATGGCAGCGAAGCAGCAGAAGGTGAAGCACGCTGCCTGGTGGAAAAGTTAGGCCAGCGAAGAGAAGGTCATGCCCACAGCTCAGAGAGAGAGGCCGCCAACAGCGCGAGGGGAGCCAGGCTGTGAGAAGGGCTGGGCAGCATCTGCAGGGCTTCCAGAAGGGCTCCCAGTGTACTGAATGTGCGGTTCGCTGGCATTCCAACCACTCCGACGCCGCGCCAAGGAGGAGTGGGACCAGAAGGGCTGTACTGCCTTCCCCAAGCATGGCAACAGAAGCAGTGTGTAAGATGCAGGCTGGCACTACGGTCTGAGGGTACAGAATTCTCAGCCAAAGGAAAAAGCAGAGATGGACTGAAGTCTGAAAAAACATGCATCTTAGGGAAACAAAAATCCTACATCAAATAAACTGAAAAATGGGCCTTTGAAATGAGAAAAACTGAAGTCAGCCTGGACAAGCCTCTTGAGCACTTCAAACATTGGAACGTTGATTACACCAGAATACTTGGGGGAAACAGGAATCCTGATGTGGGGGGCTTTCAAATTCACTGAGGGGAAGGTTAAAAGCAAACAAAAATATTTTCATTTTACAGCTATTGACAGAACTTTACATTCCCATTTCTCGCTTCACAATTTAGAGAACAGTGGCCACTGATGAATTTTCTCCTGGTGCCTGATTTCTTGTGTGGCCCTGGGTCTGAGAATTAATGACCACTGCACAGAACCTCAGAAACCCTGGCGGCATAGTGGTTAAGCGCTCCGGCTGCTAACCAAAAGGTCAGCAGTTTGAATCCACCATGTGCTCCTTGGAAACCCTACGGGGCAGTTCTACTCTGTCCTATAGGATCACTATGAGTCAGAATCGACCATCCAGCAATGGATTTGGATTTCTGGATTTGCACAGAACCCCATATGCAGAAATGACTGGAGACTAGGCTAATTATTTTAGAAGTTGGAGCTTTGTTTTACGCAAACCTTGGAGTAAGATTGCTTAATTTTTTTATTCTTTCTGTAATTTGCCTCTTGCTTCTAAAAGAGGTCTGTACCAAATATGCTTCACTGAAATTCTGGCTTGTTAAATTCTGGTTAATCAAAGTTCTTGTATGGATACAAGATAAACGTATTATGCCCTGTTGCTTTTCCAATATGTCTTACTATGGGATGTGTCCAAAAGGACATTATTATTGGCCCCTGGAACAACATTCCCCAAAGCCCAGCAATGGTGATTCAGAGCCACCCACCCTTTTAGATGATGTTCACAATTGCTGTTGGTTTTTTTTTAGCCATTTTGGGCCTGATGTTGCCTTTCCGGCTAAAACCCAGGGGCTCCCCTTTCTTCGGTGGTCTGCAGAGTTCTCTTGAGGACTCAGCTTGTTCATGGATGGACTTGGCAGGCTGCATGCTGGCTCTGTCATCCTTGGCTTTTTTCAGGTAGTTTCTTCCCTTTGGGTGGAAATGGATCTTGAGATCAGAGTGGTTACACACAGAATGTGCGTGCCCTCGGCTTCTACAGATGGTTGGGAGGTGGGGAGGTGAACAGAAAGAAAGATTTCTTTAAAACCATAGAAGAACAGTAACTGCTCATGGCACAATCACTCCTGCATGTTACAGTGGTGATAACGCTAGCAGTTAAACAAATAATATATATTGGAATTTTTCTTCCAAAACTTCCAGAGGCCTTCATGAAATGATCTCATGATACTAAATTCCCAAGGAGATAGTACGAGTTCTGTTTTACCGGTAAAGAAACCGAGGCCCAGAAATTTTAAAAGACTGCCCAGAATAATACATGCAGTTCAACTATGGAGAAGATGGGACCAGAACTCCTATCTCCTGACCCTTTAAATGAGTAGCAGGGGACTCAAACAAACCCACAGTATGATATTATAGGGTTTATGATTTATGACAGAAATATTCGTATATCTCTATCAAATGTAGTAAGCATACTACATTAATAGTACTATAGAGCTATTATGACCACTCTAGAGAGTTCCTGGGTGGTACAAACAGTTAAGTGTGTTAAGTGCTCGGCTACTAGCCGACAGGTTGGCGGTTCAAACCCACCCAGAGGTTCCTTGGAAGACAGGCCTGGAGATCTGCTTCCAAAAGGTCACAGCCCTGAAACCCCGATGGAGAAGCTCTACTCTGCTTACTTGGAGTCACCCTGAGTCGAATCAAGTCGACGGCAACTAACAAGAAAATCTGAATAAAAGAGTTATACTAAATACTATAAAAATACTCTTATAATACTATCATAATGCCATATACTAATAGAGTATTAGTAGAATTAAAAGTCATGTCAACATTTTACAAATTAAGTATGCATGCAGGTAAATTTTAACCTGAGCTTCTCAAATGCATTTATATTATATTATGTAAAATGCAATATGAAAACATATTATACTAGCATTATTAAATGGCCCAAGTATAAACAGGAATACCTACAGGCATTTGGGTTTCCTATTTGAGGAGATATCCGTAAGCTGAAGGAAAACAAATAAGAAAAAAAAAATCACATCACGAGAAGGCTGGATTCAGTTTTGAAGATCTTTTTTTGCTTATGTTTTTAAGAAATTGTATTTGCATTAAGGAAGTCAGTGAGTGGTATCTGTGGCATTACCCATGGTGCCATCCCATCACACATCGGGGGACAAGAACATCTCTGCCCAGCCTCTGCTTACTCAGGGAGGCTCTGTGTATACATGCTCTGCGTTTCCCGAAAAGCCAACGTCAGCAGATCTCAACAACTGCAGAAAGTCAAACAGCTTCCCAACAGAGTAACATTTGAAGAAACATATTTGTACAAACTGGAATGATGTGCCTTTATTTCCTGATGGATTCAGACTGCATTTGTAGCTAATTCACTACAGCTGTGGCTGGTCAGAGTGTATCAACTAAGAGGAAAATTGGCATAAAATGTTTATTGCCCAGAATACACCATTTCTACAATGACAGCGTATGAAGACCAACTCCACAACTGTCCCTGAGGCCATCTATCATTGCGATTATTTTCCACCCCTAATAGATCATGCAATGGAATACCTGCATGCACTTTTGTGGCTGGGCTCAGAATGACTTCATTTGCAGCATAAATTGATAATTATCGTTTTGTGATCCAGCTGTCACCACCCAGTTTATGGGCAAAGTCCAGGGTATCCCCAGCCTTCAGTTTCTGCTCTCCCACATGTAGCCTTCACTAAAAGAAGTGGTGTCACGTTAGTTGGAAGAGAGACGGAAGAAGTGGATGACAAAGGAAACGTGCAGAAAGAGCCACTTTGGTGTTCGGGCCCAGTTTGGCCAAGACATGTATCCCCACTATACTAAAATAGTCTAGAAAACCAAGCTCAGCCTCACAGGCTCACTGCCCCAGTTCCTGTCTGCAGCTTGAGCTCTAGTCAACAGCACAACAGAAAGAAGGTTTCTTAAACAGATTTCCGAGGACCCCCAAGAAGGCAAGATGGGATTCTTGCTTTTTGCCTTTTTATACAATCTGAAGTCGACATTATTTTTGACCTTGCTCATGCGGGCTGGGTTTGGCATGAGATTAGCAAATTGTGAACAGAAAAAAGCAGCATTCTGGCATGGGGGTGCTGAGGTTACACAATGTACAATGAAGGTAGGACAGCTGGTGTCTTCTGGAGGACCGGTGGGCAACAGCAATTCCCTCTTTCATGCTCCTGAGCTGGGCTTTTTGAACGGACTTTAGTGGATATATAAAGTGTAAAAATGTACAGGGTTTTTCCTTTTTTTATTATTGAGGTATAACAAAGTGCTCACTTCACTGTATTCATGGTAAGTATACAGTTTGATGAGCTGTTGCATGTATTTACATAATACCCTTTGTAATTTGATGCAAAATTAAGTGTGTGTGGTGGGGCGGCGGGGGGGCAAAAGTGTCATCAAATGCTCAAAGGAGTCCTGACTCCAAAAAAGCTTAAGAAACACAAACTTAGGGCCTATGAGTATCAATAAGGGACTATGCTGGGACCTCAGGAAATTTGAGCAATTTACTATGTCTTACAGGAAGAGAAATGCATGAATAAAGATGGGTTAAGACGGCCATGAACCTCACATATACACATTATATAGGCACCATAAATTCTGCATGTCTGAACGTCACACACTGGGTTAAGCCCATACCATATACAGCCCCAATTAACCCTCAAAACAATCCTATGAGTTAAGCATTATTATCTCCACTTTACAGATACAGAAACTGAGTCAGAAAAGTTTAATAACTGCCTTGAAGCCTCAATGCTCTACCAGTGTCAAGGCTGGGCTTGCAACCCAAGTTAGCAGACTCCAAGCCTGAACATGCCTTCACTCTGTACTGGGTAAAAAGTATGTGTTTGTTATACAAGGACAAGAAAGTGTGTGCACAGTAAGTGGAACTGACAACTGGTTTAGAAGTTCTCCAATAAACCAATAAACTATGAGGTCTGGAAGTGGAGCCAGTGTCTGTCATGACAGCCAGCACAGGATTTCATGTCTTCCTTAGCTACACAAGTAGCCATCACTTCTCCTGGCCACCCCCCGCCCCCAGCCTTGCCTTTCACAGAGGGAAAAGCTCATCCCCACTTAACCCGTCTACCCACCTCCGCTTCTCCTAGTACAGCTACTTTTCTTCTCGTCTAGAGAGAAAAGGGCGTTAAGATGAGGATCAAGAGATCCCTTGATCAGGGCTCCCGGTTGGAAAAGGATAAATGATCTTATACTGAGAACCAACCTGAGTACTTCTGAAGCACAAACATGGCATTTTAGGTTATTACAGGCTTGGAACTGCACACCTAGCCCTCCTCCAACATCTGCTTTTTGGAAATAACAGCAATGTACACCCAGTTGTTCAGACCAAAACCTTGGGTTCATTCTTAATTCCTCTCCTTCCCTCTCCCACCAGATCTAATCCTTCAGCAAGGCCAATTGGTCTTGTCAGTTCTACCCACAGAATAGATCCAATACCCATCACTTCTCTCCACTTCCACCTTATCCAAGCTGCCAACCTCTTATCTGCCATATGACAATAGCCTTCTAAATGGTCTCTCATTCTTGTGCTTCTCTAGTCAATTCCCCCACAGAGCAGCCAGAGTGATCTTGCTAAATCATAGATCACCTCCTGGTTAAAACCTTCCAATGGCTTCCCCGTGCACTTTGGAATAGATCTAAACTCCTTACGTGACCTGTAAGGCCTGGCATGATCTAGATCTTTCCCAGCTCTCTGACTTCATTTAAGACCACTCACACACACCAAGCTTGTCCCCTCCTAACACACTTGCTATTCCTTTGCCTAGAATGATCCACTTCAAAAGTTTCACAGGTCTGCCTTCTTCTGGTCATTCAGGTCACAAGTGAAATGTTAACTCCTGAACAAAACTTTTCCTGGCCACAAAGGGCTCTGGTGATACAGTGATTATGCGTTTGGCTGCTAACCAAAAGGATGGCAGTTCGAATCCACCAGCTGCTCCTCAGAAACCCTACAGGGCAGTTCTACTTGGTCTGACAGGATTGCTATGAGTCAGAATCAACTTGAAGGCAACAGGTTTGGTTTTGTTTTGTTTTAGGGTCACTATAAGGAACATCGGTTAAGCACGCAGCTGCTAACCCAAAAAGTTGGCCACTGGAACCCGCGCAGCAGCTCTGTGGGAGAAAGACCTGGTGATCTGCTCTTGTAAAGATTACAGCCTATGAAACCCTATGGGGCAGTTCTACTCTGTCACATGGGGTCACTATGAGTCAGAATCGACTTGGGGGGCAACAGGTTAACTCTAAAGTAGTCCCCTACCCTGGGAATCTCAAACACACCATCTTATTTTTTCTTCTCTTTATAGTAGTTAGCACTATTTGAAATTATCTTCTGTATTTGTTTACTTATTTATTGTATTCTCCTCCTTACTGGAGTGTAAGGTCTGTGAGAGCTGGGACCTCATCTCTCTTGTTCACAGATGTTTCCTCAGCACACAATAAGCGCTATGCCCCCAATAAATATGAGTTAAACGAATTACTGGTAGTCCTAACCTAGCAACCTGCAGGAAATAAATGTTAACGCTTAAAATAAGATTACCCAAGCTGTTTCATGACCTTCCATTCGAGCAGTTCTGTGAGAGATTGTGGCAGATGGGATATTAGGTCACTTTGTGCCTAATTCGACAGCATTTTTCAGAGCATATGGATAAAATATCTAAGTAAGCATATTACATTTTTAGAAATCAGCCAGGTGAAAATGAGCATAAATGCTCAAGGGGATGAAGGGAAAGACACAGATGCCAAAACATTATTTCAGAAAAGGCACTAAATATGAAGGGAAGGAATTTTTTTCTAGAGCACAGAAGAATCTTAAAGCTAGAAAGCACCTTAGAAAGAAGCAACTTAGAAGTCAATCTAGAAATTTCACTGGAGGTGCTAATGAGAAAAAGAACGAAGAGGAAAGAGGAAGTGAACCGGGGTGGATGAAAGAAGGGATATGAAGAAGATGATTGTCATGGGTTGAACTGTGTCCTCCAAAAATATCTGTCAACTTGGCTAGGTCATGATTCCCAGCATTGTATGACTGTCTACCATTTTATCATCTGATGTGATTTCCCTATGTGTTGTAAACTCTAT